TTTCCAAGTGTGCTCAATGTGGCCACCACAGGCTGCACAGACAACACCAAGCCGATCTGAGGATTCCTCCCATACACGCCTCAGGATGTCTGATGTCTGAAGCCTCCGTGTTGATTGTAACTGTTATTATTTTGATCTTTTAGGCTATCGATATTTGCTGAAAGTGGTGCAACATCAACGTTGTCTTTAATATACCCCCCTCCCCCCAACCCCCCCAAAAAAAACAACAACAACAACACAACAACAACAACAACCCACACACTGTTAAGTCTTGGGATCTGGCAAGCCAAAAGCACAGAGCGAGATCTTTCAGCACCTCGCCTCGCCTACCAATCCACCGCTGAAGCACTTTTTCATTCAGAAAAGCTCGAACCAAGAGATGCCAATGGGGCAGTGCTCCATCTTGATGAACAATTATGTCATTCGAATTTACGTGCGGTTAAGTGAATAGCCACTTCTTGTGGGAGTATGATAAAGACAAAGTTTATGTTCCTCCACTTTCAGCAAATACCAAATACATCGAAGATCGAATAACCCCTACAACTAACATGGTGGACTCGGACCTACTGAGGAGCGTCTGGGAGGAGTTCTCATGTATCGGCGTGATGTTGTCCGTGCTGCCCGTGGTGGACACATTAAGCACTTATTGTAATTGTAAAACATAAAATAGACATTTGAAGGCATGTACTACACATGTGTCAAAACTGGAATTTTCAGTTAGTTTCGTTTTTGAAACATCGTGTGATGATATTGAATTGGTGTATCCCTTTTGAAACACCCAGCATTGCATTTTCTACATTTTGCTTTGTTAAGCAGGGTTTGTCTTGTGTTGGGAATCTGACACACCTCATTGTTCTTCTATTTTGCTGTTCAACTTAATCTGGCCATTCTACAGTAGCACCATATCTCAAACGCAGATATTTTGTTTCTTCTTTCTTAGTTAAAGTCCAAGCCTCAGTGCGCCATATAGGAATAGTGGGCAGTTGTAGTTCCGTCATTTTCTTTCAGTATCTTTTAAGAGTTCCCAGAAAAGGGGGTAAAAAATTAGCTGAAAGATCGTTTGCCCACCTTGCTCTGTCAGTTTGGAACTCTCTTCTCCAACCCGTGAGACATACAACATCTGAGTCTAAGTTAAAAAAATCTTTAAAGACACATTTAATGACTTCATTTTTATGTCAGTAGAATCATGTTCAGAACAGTGTTATGTGAATGACTATGTATCCATTTATTGTGTATATTATTTTATTATGTATGTGTATGAGCTCATTTCGTAACGATGTGTAAGCGTGCGCGTGTGATAAGCAAGTAGATGTGTGTATGTGTGTGTGCGTGTGTGGGTGTGTATGTGTGTGTGTGTGTATGTGTGTGTGTGTATGTGTGTGTGTTTAGCGTACTTGTGTGTGCACATGTGTGCGTGTAATGTGTGCGTGAGTGTGTGTGTGTGTTTGTGTGGGTGTTTGTGTGTGTGTTTGTGTCT